CTGTGCAACAAGAAAGTTTGTAAATGTGGGTAAAATCATTAGTTTTTCTCCCATTCCAAAAGTTACCAGGAATTATACCAAATATTAGTTTTCTTAATATTTGGTTATTTAATTTATCATCATTTTCGATTTCATTTTTTGTGCAAGTTCTCTGTTTTTTTATTTTTTTTAACCCAAGGCCTCCTGCATCCTAAGCACACACTCCACCACTGAGCTTACTGAGCTAGCCACTCCTAGTCTTACATGGAATTTCTAACCAAAACAATATCCTATCCTATTGAAAAAGAAACATGCTTCCATTATCATGACCCCATATGCTGTCTGCCAGTTTTGATGTTTAATATATTGTTAAGATTTCTTCTTCTTGTTTCATCTTTTTATTTTGGAACATTTTGCTTCATCTGGAGGTTTGCTGACTTCTCATCTCCATCATGCATTTTTCCGGTTTCTCTCTGCAATACTCATCACCTTAACCTTGCCTCTCTTGAGAATCCTGGATCCCACTTCATGCATCTTTTATTTCTCTTTCTTGGTTTCCAGACTCATTATTCTGGAAAACATTCTTTAAAGTTTTTTTCCAGCATATATATCCCAAAACTTTCATGGCTGTTAACCCCCACCCCCCCTGGAGAGAACACCCATTCTCTCTTGAATGTGTATTACTTGCTTTACCCCAAAAGGTCTCACTCTAGAGATGGCCCATGTTTTCTCTTAAATGTGCTTCCACTTTCTTAATGAACTTCTGTCTATGACTTTGGATAAAAGTTCCTTGTTTTATTTTATTTTTTTGTGGTGCTGGGGATTTAATCCAGGGCCTTATGCATGCGAGGCAAGCACTCTACCAACTGAGATATATCCCCAGCCCTCCTTTATTTTTATAAAATTCAAGGTATCTGTATTTTTTCCTCACATTAATTGGTAGCTAGAGGTCTACAGAATTCTTGATTGAACAAAAGAAGAAAGAAGAAGAAAGAGGAAAAGAAGGAGCAGGAGAAGAAAAGGAGGAGGAGGAGGAGAAAGAGAAGGAAGAGGAGAAGGAGGAGGAGGAGGAGGAGGAGGAGGAGGAGGAGGAGGAGGAGGAGGAGGAGGAGGAGGAGGAGGAGGAGGACACAGGGAAGCATCATTTTACTGTTTCTACAATCCTGGTTTAATAATGAGAATAATAGCATCTAGTTATCTCTGATTTGTGGACTTTTCCCTTTTCCTTTATTTCTTCTATGTGGTCTTGTTATCAATAAGCACTTAAGATGTTCATGTTTTCCAATGAGTTTTCAAGTGTCATAAGGGTGTATTTTTTCTATCCTTCTCTTTGTTATACCTATGTATCATTTCAGGATGATATCAAGAATCCCTTTCTTACACAATTTCTTAAGTGATCCTGCCTTCAATGTCAGTATTTTGTCCTTTAGGAAATCACATATTATACCTCCTTAACATATTCATATATTCTCATTTGTGTGACCATGATTTTATTTATTTTTCTCTAGTTTATTTTATCATTTTTCTTTTTCTTTTTTGTAATTGGTGTTTTATTTATTTGTGTTCTAATTGTCCAGATTGAATTCATAGAAGTTTTCTTTTCTTCAGATTTTTTCTTTACCTCAGAGGTACTCAAAGTTGGGTCCTTGAACCAGCCACATAAGTATGACCAGGGATATTATTAGAAATATCAATCCTCAGTCCCCTCCAAGGCCTACTGAATCAGAGACCCTGGGGTTGAGCCTCAGTCTTCAGTGTTTGAATAAGCCCAACAGAAAAAAAATTCTGATACAAGCCCAGGTACCAGATAGTGTTTTACATCGTATCCTGTTGCTTTATGAATGGATTATTTTTAAATATTATATATCTAAGTATATCTGAGAATATTAATTTATGTTTTAAGTTTCTTTTCTAGTACATATATTTTTTTTCCTGTGAGTTAGATGTTATGCTTTCCTATACTTCTAGTAACTTTAAAAACTTCATTATCTGTTTTTCTTTTTCTTTCAGTCTTGATTCAACCCAGAACAAGCACCTACCACTGAGCTACTCCAGATGTTTTTAGTTTTATTTTTTGAAACAGGGTTTCAATAAGTTGCCCAAATACTCCAAATCTATGATTCTATTTTCTCCTTTTTCTTTCCCCAATCTTTGTGCATCCCAAGTAGCTGGGATTCTAGGTGTGTACAACCACACCTGGATTCATTATTTATTTTTATTTACCATTGAAACACTGTGTTTACTTTAGTTACCTTAGTAAGAAGGTTGTACAAATTTCTTCCACTAGTTTTATTTCAGTTAACTATTAATTTTGGCATGTCTCCTTCTTAATTTAGTTATTTGACAATGGTAGATATGAGAGTGCACTGGATAGAAATTGGCTTTAGGTCATTGTGGTAAGTCCTTTACTTTGCCTTCAAAGGTGATATAGCACTAATGCTATCAATCTCTTCTGGGTAGTTTCTTCAATATCTTTAAGGAAGGCACCTCAGCATCCTCATCTTTATTCTACATATCTCTAAGTAACTAGACTGGGGAGGGGATATGGGAAGAAATAAAGGTGAATATTATTTTTCTAAGTCAATTAGAAAACAATTTGGTAAGTCAACTTAGTAAACAAAATTTCAAATACTCCAAATCTATGATTCTATTTTCTCCTTTTGCTTTCCCCAATCTTTGTGCATACCAATCATGCCAGTTGGGAAATCTCTATGATTCTATGGAACAGGTGTCTTCTCTCTTAAAACCTTTTCCCTATGCATGTTTGAGCCTGGTCATTATAAATCAGTTTTATCTCATAACTTTCATTCCCTTTGCCCAAGAAAAATGGTAAAAATTAGTATTTCAATGAATGTACTCTCTCTTCTTTGTTCAACATTTAGTGTATGTTTGTTTGAATTTAGGAGGGATAAAAGACAAAGACGTGTGTGTGTGTGTATATATATATATATATATATATATATATATATATATATATATACACACACATCTTTGTCTTTATAAATACATACATATGTAGTATATATATGGAAGAGATTAAAGAAAAATGAAGACTTTTGTATAGATAATTTTATTTATTTGAGGTTCTTTATCATGTCATTTAAAATGTTCTTTAGTGTTTTAGAATTTGGAGGTATAAATTTTTATTTATCTAAGTTGACAGTTTTGGATCATTGCATTGTTAAATGATACCATTTTTTGAACGTTTGGTCACTTATTACTTGATGAAGAGAAAGTGAAATTATAGGACCACCAAGTGAAATGTATTCTCATCATTAATATATGAGTGTCTGTAGTAATGTATTTAATTAATCTAGGACAGATATGATGATTTCCTCAGGACTGTGTTACAGATAATTATAAGGCTATATCATGGAGACAGTTCAGACATCTAATTATGTATATGGAAAGTGACTTTAGTTTTACAAAAGTCAAATTCAAAATGCATGAAAGTAACACGAGGAAAAAAACAAGATATATATTTAAAAGCAACTAACATCAAAATTTAATTGATATGAGGAACATAGCGATTGACAACAGAGTAATACTAATTACAGAGTCTCTCACAGATAATGAGACACCTTAAAAATGTCTAAGGAGTATTGTTTAAAACAAGAAAAAATATCAAGAGAATGTAATCTTTTAAGTCAAGAAAGATAAGTTTCCACAGACAAAATAATTGAGATGGTCAACTACTTTCAAAAGCCCAAAGAATCTAAGTAACCAATGGTGAGATGACTGTTAGAGCAGGTGAATACACATCCTAGTTGGCCCAACTAAGAATTGCTCCAATAGGAATTTAAGCTTCTTATTCTGTGACAATAATTATTAGAGCTCCCTTTCAGCTCCCTTTACTCAGATAAAACATATGAGTATGTTTGAAAATTATATGAAATTGTTACCATAGAGGTAAAGATCATACTATGGATAATAAAGGGACACACATATGATATGTATATCTATCCATCTTATGTATAACAATTTGATATAAATATGGAAAGATTAAACTATATTATATATTAATGTGTGCAGATATATATGTAAATATAGATTTAAAGTTTAAAGTATACTAATATATGACAGAAAATTAGTGTGTAATTAGAGTGGGAATTCAGCTCAAAGGAGAAATATTTTGTCATATAACTTTTTATCACAAATAATTTGAATGTCTTATATTACAGATATGAGGAAACAAATAGCAAAAAGATTGCAATTATAGGTGAAATGATCAACAAAGTGATAGTTCAGCACTGACTAAATTGAGAAAGGGGCTACTTTAGATTACAGTGAGGATATGTCCTTATTTAGAAATAGGAGCACAATGTAAAATGTCAATTCTCTGTGTTAGTTTGGGAATTGAAAAGAATTTCTGAAAGTTTCAGCAGAGATAAAGCTCAATGCATACACTGTGTATGGGTGTATTTGTGTGTTTGTGTGTGTGGGGGGGTGTGTGTGTGAAAGAGAGAGAGAGAGTGCAAGAGAGGGAGAGAGAGAGAGAGAGAGAGAGAGAGAGAGAGAGAGAGAGAGAGAGAGAGAGAGAGAGACTCTGAAACACTGTTGCACAGATTGTGTCTATAACCTTGCTGAAGCACTGGTTAGCCTGCTGTTCAAGATCACTTGTTCTTCACTTTCTTTTCCTAAGAGAGTCTTAAGCAGCCTGTGTTTTTACAACAGAGTTGCTTTTACCACTGCATAATTTCTGGACCTGACTTTAGAATAGATAGTAGTAGGTACTCTACTCATTTTCATTTCAAGTTTAACTTGCATAGGTCTGAGTGGAGATTCTTAGTAAACAGAGTAACTGATCCCACAGCAGTTTCAGAAGGGAAATCACTTTTATTCCTCAGTATAAGAATTATTAATGTCATTTCACTCTTGATTCAGTCTCATTCTTAAACTTTAATATTCACTAGGCTCTTTTAGTCAAATTACTAGTCTCCTAAATTTGACATTTCTTTTTTTTTTCTTCCTTAGGATCCATTTCTGGGAAACTGTTTTGAACAGGGCTCCTCACAGTTTTCATGTTTGAATTCAATACCACGACATTTCATCCTTCTTTTTTTATTCTTACTGGCCTCCGAGGGCTGGTGGGTGCCCGCCTATGGCTGGGACCACTCTTGAGCCTGATGTACATTACTACAATGGCAGGAAACTGCACAGTAATATACTTGGTGAGGACTGAGAGGAGTCTACAGGAGCCTCAGTACCATTTCTTGTCCATGCTGGCTGGGGCCGATATTGTCCTCTCTATCTCCACCCTTTTGTCTGTGCTCAAGGTCTTTATCCTTGGCCTCTATGTAATTGCATTTGATAGTTGCCTCACTCAACTCTTCTTTATTCATACATCCTCTTCCATGGGCTCAGGTATCCTGTTGGCCATGGCTTTTGACCGCTTTGTGGCCATCAGTCACCCCCTGCAATATACCACCATACTCACCAACTCACGAGTCACCAAAATGGGACTGGCAGCCTTTCTGAGGGGTGTAGCACTCATGACTCCATTGCCCATCCTGCTAAAGAGGCTGCCTTTCTGCAAGGGCCAGATGCTCTCCTATTCCTATTGTCTCCATCCAAATGTCATGAAGCTAGCTTGTGGTCAAGTCAAAATCAATATTTTCTATGGTCTGATTTTGGTCATCTTTTCTTTTGGGATTGATTTTCTCCTCATAGCCCTTTCTTATGTTCTGATATTCCAAGCAGTGCTGGGTATTGCTTCCAGAGAAGGACAGATGAAGGCACTCAATACATGCTTGTCTCATATCTTTATTGTGTTTATTTATTATGGACCTCTCCTGGCAATAACTGTAATGCATCGAATCCACCACAAAAGTTCTCCATTGGCACATGCAGTCCTGGGAAATATTTACCTCTTTATGCCCCCAATGCTCAACCCAATTGTGTATAGTCTGAAGACCAAACAGATACGTGCTGCTCTGAGAAAATCTTTCAAGGTCCAGCAAGCATGAAGAATTAGAAAAGTTAAATATGATTTAAATGAGGGAAAATAGAACTTTCAATTTTATAATTATTTAAAAATTGAATATTCTTGCTGTAATTTTACATATAGGATGTGGGTATAAATATGAATATGATGATAAAAATCTTCTAAATTACAGTTTATGAATAAAGATTATACATTTATGTATTCATAATATTGTCTTTGCTCCCACATTCCTTAACATGTGTTTTGAGATATTTTGTGAACAAAGTTGAAACAAATGAGAAATACTTGGCTAGATTATTCATGCAGCTCCTTGTCATAGATAGTTCTAATGTTTTTCCATATTTCCTAAGAAAGTTTATAATTCAACAATTTTTCGAGAAGACCAGAGAGTTTAGCAAATCTCCAACCATATATTCTAACTTTCCATTTTATTTTCTTTCCATATGTTTTATTATATTTTCTAAATTCTTCCATATTATTTTGACTATATCAAATTACAGGTACCTGGATCATAGTAGAAAATGTATAAATAATTTTGTGTATTACTCTGTTTGTTTATCCAAGATTTGAGTCAAATACAATAAAATTCTTTCCAACTCCTCCACTAAGATATGAAAATCCATATTTTTTAAAAAAGTTGTTTATCCAAGTTTCCTACAGATTGTACCATTGTTACTATGTTTACTGCTTTTTATTTTCTCCACAGACATGGAACATATTCTATATTATCACTGAGGAAATTTTTACTAATTTATGATCTTCATATAGGTGTGAGCACTCAGTCAAAATTAAATTATTGAAATTCTGCTCCAAATTCTTCCTTTTATTAAATTCCTATTGTATGTAAATTATGATTAGAATGTCTATGTTGCTATAGTGAAAAGAATCTTATTATCTCTATGTACCTCCTACATTTCTTCACCTTTCACTCACTATGTCTCCTAAATATATCTTAAATGTGTCCACTCATTTACATTCTATATTTTCTTCACTAGTTCAATGTTTCACTTCACTAGTTTAATGTTTCCTTCTTTATCTATTTTAATTTCTGAATTTTCCCACTTAACATTAACTCATTCTCAAACAATTGCTTACTTTGCTCCCTAAACTGCAAAACAAATATGATCATGTTGAATCTTTGAGTTTTTGCAATTGAATTTTTTGTCTGTTATGACAAATTTAACTTAATGCTTATTATATGGGAGGCTGTCCATGATCTGACCTTTTCCCATTTTCTTTCACACCCCATTCTTACTAAAAAATCTTTAGTTCTCTGAACAATGCATGCTAGTTCAGATTCTTTTTATATTTTTGTATTGTTTAGCCTTATATACACTTCACATTCTTTATTAAGGAAAAAATGTTCATCATTGGAGATCCTCTTGTAAGTTCTAAAAAGAAAAAAAATACATATATATATATATATATATATATATATATATATATATATATATATATATATATATATCTCAGAACTGGAAATTGTACCCAAGGGAACTCTACCACTGAACTATGTCACTAGCTCTTTTATTTTAATTATTATGTTTATTTTTGAGATAGTATCTTGTTAAGGTACTACCCTGCTTCAAGCTTCCCAAATTGTTGAAATTATAGGCATGAATCACTACACTACCCAGTTCTTCAACCAACATTTTGTTAATGAAATTTCATCGTTGACCCAATGATCCTGAGTGCTGTGGTCTTGTGAGACTGAGCCCTTGCTCATTGGTATCTGATGCTATCTCTTGACAGATGGTGTCAGAATTGAATCAAATTAACATATATCCAACTAGTATCCACTGGAGAATTGTTTGCTTGGTTTTAGAAGCATTCTGTGCTATATTGAGTAGCTATGAGAATAGGAAAAATCCTTTTGGTTGGTTTCCCCCTGTATTCTCAGTGTGTGTGTAAGGGGTTGGGAGATGGAGAAAGATTAAAATACAATAGAAGAAATAATAAAATTAAATATTCAAGAGACTTCCAAAAAGAAAAATCTAATAATAGATAAAATGCTAAATAATATATATGAAATAATGTCTTAATATATCATCAGAGTGACCTTGACTATTGTGAAAATAGTATCAAGGTGGTAGACATTAACCCAACCCAAGAAGAACATTTCAACATCCTGCAAAAAATATTGAAATTGGCTAATAGAATACTAACTTAATATAATTAATATATGTTAATACCAATTAATCAATTAAATAAATAAATGTAAAACACTGACTAAAGCTCTTTTAACCACCGCTTGCTATTATCCTTTGCCACCCTTCCTTTCCTGCAAACTGTCTTCAGTAGTTGTACTCTATTACCTGTATCTCCTTTAGGTATAGTCCTCTGTCCTACTCCCATACCTTTGCATATACTTCTAATTTTGCCTAATATATTCAATCTACTTTCCCCTGACTAAGAGCTGTTAGTTTTTACTTTTTTCATTTCCTCATTTTAGTCTCTGACTCTTACAGCCTGGTTAATACATCTCACAGTGATCTGACCTTACCTTTATGATGGACACTGTATATCCATTATGTACTCTTTGCCTTTCCGCATAGACTCTATTCAAAACTAAAGCAATTTTCTGCATTATCTTCATATTCCCAGATCTCAGCAAATAAGAAACATATCAATTAGTTTAAAAGAATTATGGAAATGAAGAAGATGGGTGGGGGGAGGAAAGGAGACAGTCTAGCAGTTCAGCAGACACAAAGGAATTCATCATGTTCAGGAAACTTGTTTCCACCTGTTATTTTCCAGGGCTTCATATAGGTACCTGGAATACATTTTTGAACAACAGAAGAAGTTTACTCACCCTTGTGGAATTTACATTCTAAAAATGAGGGAAACAGGGAAAACACAAAGCACTACCTTTTCTGAGAATATTGGTTCAATCAGAATAATACTCCAAGTGAGAAGACAGGGTGGTTTCTTATATACACAGTCTCTTCTTCTCAGATGACCATTTTTCTCTCCATACCATGTCAGATACTCTTGTCTCCTCTGAATTTATCCTCAGACGTACATTTAGTGTTTTTCAAACAATGAACTCTTGTCTCCTAAAGTTTATTCCCTGCCCATCAAATGAAAAAGACCTGGCCTGACTATGCTAAGTAAATATAGATGTGTTGTCCTGGAAGAGTAACCTAAAAGCTGGTGTTTTGCATTTTTTAAAATTGTTCTTTGACATTTGTATTAAGTTTTAATATTGATATAATTTTACACTTTCAAAAAGTCAAATAGATCCCCTTATTGTTTATCCATTGACACATTAAATGTTAGATAAACTTTCATCAACTTTAAATTTATCATTTCTAGTTAACAATACAAAAATATTTTTACCTCCCCTAATTTTCAAATTTTTCACTTATGCTAATGGATGATTCCTTGGAAGAGTAATTTGAAATTTATAAAAACAAGTTAATGTTTTTTTTTTTTTTTTTTTTTGCTGCCTAGTTCTGGTTTCATTGCTATTTTCCATAAGATGGTCATTAACTGCTCAGTTTCAACAGACTTTCAAGGTACACCATTTCATGTGTTTCTTTAAAAGAGAAAACAAAACAGAAATACACATATCACACACTGATGTTTACAAATACTCCCATTTCACAATGTGGTAATTTTCTTCTTAGACAATAAACAAGACACCACCATCTTGGCAGACAAGAAAATATATCAGTTCTTGTAAAACCATATCTTGAAGTGATGACATATTCCCTAGAGAAGCAGATAGATCAAAGGGCAGAGAAGGTCAGGGTGTCTCTTTGACTAAGGCCATATGGGACTACATAAAGTTTGCCTTGCTCTTGAGTATCTTGTGCATTGCTAACCTTATCTGTTTGGTTTTTAGGCTATAAACCAAGGGATTAAGGACAGGAGTCAGAAAGAGGAAGAGATTGGCCATGGTGACATGGAGAAGAGGAGATGTGAACGTACCAAACCTGTGAATTAAGGCCAACACAATGAGGGGCACATAAAAGATAAAGACAGTGAAGATGTGAGAAACACAAGTATTAAGTGCCTTAAGTTGACCATCTCCTGAGGTAACACCCAGCACTGTTTTCAAAATCAAGATGTATGAAATGACAATGAATATAGAGTCAATTGCAAAGGAGCAGAGGACTAGAGACAGTCCGTAGACAATGTTGACTCTCACAGAGCCACAGGCCAGCTTCATCACATCAGGATGGTAGCAGTAACAATGGGACAGAATGACACCTTTGCAGAAAGGCAATCGCTTCAGCAAGATTGGCAAAGGCACCATCAACAGCACACCCCGAAACACAGCTATGAGCCCTATTCCTATAATTCTAGGAGGAGTTAAAACCACAGTATAGTGCAGCGGGTCACAGATAGCTACAAATCGGTCAAAAGCCATGGCCAGCAGGATGGCTGACTCCATGGAGGAGAAGGTATGAATGAAGAACATCTGTGCCAGGCAAGAATGGAACTCAATCTCCCTGTGATTCAGGAGGAAGAACTTGAGTACTGTAGGTAGAGTTGATAAAGACAGACCCACATATGTAGCTGCCAGCATAGACAGGAAAATGTACTGAGGCTCATGAAGGATGGAGGTGGTTTTGATAACGAAGAGGATGGTGCAGTTTCCTAGGAGGGCAACTAGGTACATGAAGCCCACTGGAATAGAGATCCATATTTGTACAAACTCCAGTCCAGGAATGCCTGTTAGAAGGAAAGTAGGTGGCTGAAACCAACTCTTGTTTGTAAGCTCCATATCGTGCCCAGAGCAGTTTTCAAATGTTCCTGTTGCAAGAAAAAAAAATCATAAATTTTAAGATAGGAAGAGATAACTCATCTGACTCCTCCAGGGCAGTATTAATCCTAGATATGTTTACCTTAAGGAATTAATCCTTAGAAAGTTTTCAAACCTATCTGAATGACTATTTGCAGTTAGATCAATGAATAACTGCTATGAAAATATAAGACTATTTTAATTCCTTTGATCTAGAACATTCAAACATTGATCAAGTGAAAATGAAACTTGAGAACATTATTTATTATCAC